TGTGTGAGCGAGTGGGCTGGCCTGTTAGTGTTGAAGATCACAGCGAGAGTTCCTACAGTCTCGCTTAGTGAGAGAAATAGCGAAACAGAATTAATACAAAAAAATCCTAACACAAACAACCCCATTGTTTTGAAACAGGTTGTTTCCTCTCGCTATAGTGGGAGAAGCGGGATTCAAAATAGATATGAGACCGTTGATGGATGTACCTAATAACTAGTACATCGAGCTCATTTGGTTGACCAAACTAGGAAAACCAGTGCTATTTGACACTTCCTATATTAACAAACATTCAATACCCAGTATAAATTATTTAAAAATATAAAAATTCGAAACAGAATTCTGAAAAATATTGATAATAGAATTTGAAAAAACTTCATATAAATAGGAAAAAGTTCACAGAAATGAAAAAGGTGGCGAATTTGAGAAAAGTTCATGAACTAGTTCATGAATTTGGAAAATGTAAGAATTTCAAAAAAAAACACTGATTTAAAAAGCCTCATAAATTTGAAAAAAATCATCAATTTTCAAACAAGGTTCTTGTATATTAAAAATAAAGTTCCTAATTTTGAACAAAGGTTTGTAGTTTTTAAAAAGTCGATTGATTTTGAATGAAAGGTTCATCAATTTTAAAAAGTGCTTAAATTTTGAAAAAAAAATCATGGATTTGAAAAAATTGTCGTCTTGGAAATGTTATGTAATTTGGAAGAAGTTCGTGAAAATGAAAAAACTTCTTGATTTAAAAAAAAGTATACACATTTGAAAAAGTTAGAAATTCTGAAAAGTTCATGAAAGTTGGAGAAAATAGAAATGTTCACGGTTTAAAAAAATTCACTGTTATTTGGGAAAAGGAAAAGAAAAATTGAATAAGGCTCACGGATTTTTGTAAAAGTTCACGAATTTGATAGTATCTGAAAAGAGAAAAGAAAGCTAAAACCGATCAAGAAAAATAGAAAAAGAAAACAATAATGTAAAACAAAATTAGAAAAATGAATGGGGGATAACCAGAATTAAACCGCCCTGAAAAATGTATATTAAATCATTGGAAAAAGCATCCTGAAAAAAATCAGTGAAAAAAAAAACGGGCCTGTCCTTTTAGTATATAATGCAGTTGTGGGTGTGCGCCTTTTTTGATTTGTACTATATCCGGCACTGAAGGTGTAGAATAGGAACTGACGGTGCAAAACAATGAAATTTTGACGGCAACAACTAACCAAGGGTTCCCCGTTGCGGGAGCCTCGCAAGCGTCACTTTTGGTGGGCTCAGAGCACCCTAAGTGGCGCCCTCTCATCCGTAGCCACGTGTCACATGTTGGGTGTTCCTTTGGATTTTTTTTATTTTTCTATATGCGTTTTTTGGTTTTAGATTTTTTCTGGTTTTTTTGGTTTTCGGTTTTTTCCTGGTTTTCCTTAGGTTTTGTAGAAATTTGTTTTAAAAAAAACATGAAAGAACATGTTTTTTTTGCTTCCATGAGAGACACATATTTGCTTCCACGAGAGACACAATTTTTCTTCTTGTAGAGGAACGTCTAAAAGAAAAAAAAAGTGCTTTCGGCTTGGTTTTTTCCTTGATTTTTTTCGTCAAAACCTATTAATATGTGTAATTTTGAAGATCTCGATGCAAGAATCAATGATGAAAATGGTTCACAATTTAGACGCACGGTTTAAGAGATAAAACGTTTCGAATAAATAAATTTACGAGAAAAGAAAAACTTTTATAACATTTGCAAGGGGTACCCCTCAATTAGTGATTTCACATTTTCACACTACCAGAAAGAAAATTATCCTAGCGATAGGACCATGAAAGAGACGATTGATTGGATGGCACACACGCCACACACTAGTAAGCATCGACGCTTCCAATTCAAAGGTAGACTAGAAAAAATAATCCAATTCAAATATGCAAGCCGCCAAGATGTGCGAGGAGTCCATCCCGGGGCTGCAGATCGACCACGTCGACATCTCCGACCTGCCGCTCCTCAACACCGACCTCGAGAACGTCGACGGCAACGCCTTCCCGGCCGCCGTCGAGGCGTTCCGGGGCACGGTCCGCGGCGCCGACTGCTTCCTCTTCGCCTCCCCCGAGTACAACTACTCCATCTCAGGTACCCGGCTCTGTTCGTCGGGAGTTTTTTGCTTTCTGAAAGGCTGAAACCCACAGCGTTCCCGATTCTGAAGTGAAAAATCTAGTGTTTGTGCAGGCCCTCTGAAGAACGCGCTGGACTGGGGGTCGCGGCCGCCGAACGTGTGGGCGGACAGGGCCGGCGCCATAGTGAGCGCGTCGGGGAAGTCCGGCGGCAAGAGGTCGGCGTACCACATCCGGCAGGTCGGGGTCTTCCTCGACATCCACTTCATCAACAAGCCGGAGGGGTTCGTCTCGGCGCGCCATCCGCAGAGCAAGTTCGACGACGACGGCAACCTCGTCGACCCGGAGACCGGGGAGCTGCTGAGGAACATCCTTCTTTCCCTGCAAGCGTTCGCGCTCAGGCTCATCCACGGCAACTCTCCTGCAAACTCTGGACAGGCTAGTTAATAAGGAAGAGATGCATGGATGGACCTAGTTGAGGTGTGTTGCTTGAATGATCTTTTATGGCAAACATTCTTCTTCGCCAGCTTCCATGGGATAATAACGGAATGGCTGTTCGTTCGGCCATTTTACATCCAGGTCCTGTACGAAACCATGATCAAAGCCTACATGGCCCATACGAAGTTATACTCCCTCTGTTCCTAAATATAAGTCTTTGTAAAGATTCTACTAGATGAACTACATACGGAGCAAAACGAATTATGAATTTATACGGAGCAAAACGAATTATGCATCTATATGAATTTATATTTAAAATGAAATCTCTACAAAGACTTATGTTTAGGAACGGAGGGAGTACAATGAACGGCTATTAAACAATGTCGTATTAAAAAGACATAGAAAGAACCGTGCACATAGCAATGCTCAAATAAAAATCACACGGACAAGTGATTTTTCAGCACACCATCAAGTGTTCACTGCAGTCGGGTCATCAATGTCTCCCCCAACATGATTCAATTTCATCTCATCAAAACACCTGGACATCCTTTTACCTATCCCGTTGTATCAGCTTGGCAAGGTTTCTTCATGAGACTTTCTAGTTTTCCATGGTCTAGGTTGCATATATTGTCATACCTCGAGCCCAAGAAAAAGCCAACAAAAAGATCTTCACTTTCCAAGCCACTATGAGACGTCACAATTTTTCTTTTCAGTGCATTGCATCATTGAGTTTACATCTGCATAATCATATTGAGTTGATAGTCTTAGTCTTAGGGTCTATTTTGTTACAGTTTTCAGTTATATTCATGTTAGGCATGCTAGCGCCACACCAGCATCACGTCCGTTGCTGAGCACCAGCCACCTCATTAGCACAAAAAAAAAAAAGAGCACCACCCACCTGGAAATTCCATCCTCCCCCACCGACCTCTACATTGTCATATGTCAGGTCGCTTCCAAGGACAGACGACTGGAGCCAAATCCATGGAATTTTTTCCGACAAAGGGTGGATTTTGTTGGCTCAAATGAAGCATCGACAGGATACAATATGAGCACACACCCGACCTCTGCATAACTAGAATGCACACAGCCAACCTAACACACACTCACGCAAAAACACACCAACAACTAGCAAGGTCACAAGACCAAAAGCTATGCATAGGCGTGGAAAAAAGAAAAAGAAAAGGAACAAAAAGGCCCGAAGCGATCAGATCTGCAATTGACAAAAACTACAAGTGAGATCATATCCGCACCAACCATTGACATCACATGAAGGACAAGGATCTTCAACAGCAACATATCCACACCAACCATTGACACCACATGAAGGATAAGGATCTTCAACAGCAACGCCTTAAGAATGCGGCCCTCCTGTGACGTTTTTACAGCTAGCTCATATTCTTTGTTAATTTATTTATTTATTATGATTTGATCTAAGTTAGGCTTTATATAGACAAAGTTTGCCTGTTACTATTCTACTCCCTCCGTCCCAAAATATAAGAGCGTTTTTTACACTACACTAGTGTCAAAAACGTTCTTATATTATGGGACAGAAGGAGTAGTTATTGACCTTTTTTTTTCTGAACAAGGGAAGGCACCAACCGGTGCCAATTTCATTCAGCTCAAATGGTATTACAATGGCCTGAAGAAGCAAGTAAGAAGAGGAGAGCACAGCCAATGCCTAAGAGCTGAAGAAAGAGTAGTAGAGACAGGTTGTACAGAGCAACAACCTGGTGAGCTACATGACCGTAAAAAACTTTGAATGTAATACCTGAACAGCCAACAGCAATCTGTAATTGGAAAGAGATGGAGAAGAAGCTTGCAAAGTTGAAGTTGCCACAGCCCAAACTGAAGATGTTGTCACCACCATTGAAAGCAACAACTGGCTGCTACATGCTCCTCCCCGAGAAACCAAATCATCCAAGACTTGCCAGATCATATAGCAGGAATAAGAAGCAGCACAAACTTGAGGCCCATCATAGAAATCAAGAATACATAGAACAAAGTTCTGCTTGGCTATGGAGAGATCAACATCCTGCTGATTCATAAGAGCTTGGCAAGCACCCTTGTATGTAAGATTTGCAGAAGCGTATATCCCTTTGGTCTCGGGCCATTTTGTGATGTATCAGGGCTAGCCGAGCTGACGCTCTACATCCTTGGGAATGCTACTGTACATCAAGTATGGAGGTAGATCTAGTGGCGTATGCCCACACTCTTCACACCACGTCGATCAGAATAGGATGTTTGCAGAGCAAATCCTTGGCAGTGAGGAGTTCCATCATATCGTCGCCATCTTATTAAGTACAATGCTGGGGCTGGAAATGCTATTTATATATGCCGACGATTGATGGATATGGGCATGCTGGAAAAAGGATCGATCGGGAGCTTTATGAAGATTTATAATAATACTCAGAAGGGAACCATTCATGTACAAGCCGAATGATTGGATGCAGTAGTGTGTGCACCAAAATTCAGTGTTGTCTGCATTTTGGTTGTAATCTGGGTTAACTATGATTTTTTTTTGGCTTTGCTATTATGAACATAAGCAGTTGGTAACAATTTCAAGTGATATATATGTGGAACACTGTCATTAATGAAATCATGGAATCATTCATCTCATTCCATGCATGGTCTGTGTATGCTGCTGTAAAGATTCAGTGTTTTCCTTGCTGCAACTGATCTTGCAGCAAGATTCTAGTTAAAAGGTCCTTTGCAATACCACATTCTTCCAACTAATGCAGACAAAATCAGAGTTCAGAGAAGCCACCCCTTCTAACTACACTGGAGAATCTAGTTAAGTTCTAAATAATCACCCACTAATTCCACCCTTGTAATTAACTGCACAGGAGTTCCACCCCTGTAACCACTCCATTGCTTCAACAGACAAGTTTGAGTGAGAGGGGAAGAGGGAACATGAAGGGAGTTCTGCATATTTTGGCCTAAAGAGTTGAATTTTGCCTTGCTTATAAAATTAAAAGAATCACTATGAAATCTCAGAATATTTTCTCGCTGGTTAAAAAAGAAAAATGAGGGGTCAGAGCCAACCATTAAAACAGAACATTATTTTAGTGCGAAACCCATCTAAATTACTTGCAACTTCATACATCTCAGCACATACACGGGCAGTGCTGTCATTATATAGGAAATCCACAAAAGGAGAGGGAATTGCATGCAACCAGGTCAAATCAAAACAAATCCATCACCTCAGCAACAATACGGGAAATGACAAAATGGTTATCACTTACAAAAGCCGATCTAAGATTGTCTAATAAGTATTCATAAATACTTTCAGGCTGATGATATTATTACGAAACCAGTCGATACATACATATCGTTCTGTGCTTCTACTTGGAGGCAGGATATTGATCTCCACACTTGCTGGGGGATATTATCAGTCTTACTTCCTTACCTTTTTGGGCAGCCGGCAACCATTATGCGCAAGCTGGGTCACGTCGTGGACATACATGATAGGAGACGGGGTCCTCACTCTTTCGCCACGGAAACCATCCGCAAAGCCCATGATCACCTTCTTCTTCTTCCTGAAAAAGGAGTATCCTTTCACCTTCACAACGACCGACTTGAGGCCAATCTTGCTGGCAACTCGCCCCATGTGTTCCCCTGTTGCTTCACCAGCATACCGAGCAAGACGAGACCGCCCCTTTCGATCCTCCAAACAGCCGGCGGAAGCCCCAGCCTTCCTGTTCCCCTTGACGTCCGTCACAGTCACAAAGGTCTTCTTCCCCTTGAGCGTGACGTGGAGAACGTCCCTCTTTACTCGCGGAGCCCCTGCTGGCCGCAGCATTTCCATGTTAAACCGGCCGGACCTGCCACCACCGACAGTGAATCCGGTTCCACCCATCCTGCCACCAAGGGCTGTGAATCCGTTTCCACCCATCCTGCCATCACCGGCTGTGAATCCGTTTCCCCCCATCCTGCCATCAGCAGTTGTAAATCCGTTTCCACCCATCCTTCCACCACCGGCTGTGAATCCGTTCTCAGCAAAATGACGGGGAAAACCGCCGTCAGTCTGGTTCCGTGCTTGCATGATGAGGCGGCTCATCGGATCACCGGCGTTCATGAGGCCCTGCAATGGGCCCTGCAAAAGCACAAATCGAGATTCAAATTGTATATAACAAGACCGACCACTCTGTTGATGTCTCGGCAAAACTTGGAAAAAAAAATGCAGAAAAAGTGCGTGTACTTATATTATAGCAATGTATCAGCTAACAAGATTTAAGGTTATAGTAGCAAGCATTTGCGGTCACCAACAGGCACCGGACTCGGTTAATTTGTTGGGTTAGCTGGAAATGGCAACGGAGGTGTAAGTACAGTAGCAAAGAAACAAAAAAATGATTAAAAGAAACTCCTCTGTTTTCTTCCTATCTTGTTCTAATCCCCATGAAATGAAACTAAATCACTGGTTGAATTGGCCTGCGAGCATTGTGCCACTCGAGGTGAGAGGCCTAGCTCCTGAATTTATCTATCTGTTTCAGTTCATGAGATCCACTCTACCAACGAATTGCCAGATAGATGGGTCTAATTAGCTCCAAATGCAACGGAAGGGAGCAATGTCGGTCAGTTAGACCGGGGGGCTGGTAAACGTACCTTGTCAGTTGACAGCAGGCGCTGGGCGCCTGGTGAGGCGAGCGGTCGCAGGAGTGCTCGGCCGGCGAGCCCGAGGGGCCTCGCTGCCATCGCCGCCTGCTGGCCGGACGAGGACGGGATCCTCTATGGGCCGGCGGCAGCGGCGGGGAGCAGATCCGGCGGTTGCTTCGGTCCAAGTCGACACAGAGACGATCGAGGGAGGAGTTCTGCCGGGAAGAGCCGGTCGAGGAGGAGGGTGGTGGCTCCAGCGGCGGAGCGAGACGGGGAATGGCGGCGGCGGCGGCGGTGGGGATCGGAGTTTTTTTTAGTTGAAGGCACGGGAAACCTAACGAGACGTCGTGGGCGGCTGGGGAGAACGCTGTGTAGCTCATCCAATATCTTCAGGCCCATTAGCAACTGGATGCCACCAAAAAGGCCCGACACAACCCATCTCCAGGCCGGCCCAGACAGATTAATTGGTTCCCGAGCGGATCAATGGCTGGTTTAGGACTTGTTTGTGACTGTTCCGCTTCATCAAAATCAGCTTCATGTAGGATGGCCAAGTAAGAAGGGAGCAAACTTTATGTTTCAAGCTGGAGAAACTTGAGGAGCAGGAAGACTTGGTGTGGCGACAGAGGGGCCATGCAAATTGGTTGCTTCACGGTGATAGGAATAACGTTATTTCCAGGCGTATGCATCGAAAAGAAAAAGGAAAAATACCGTTAAACGACTGAGAAGGGAGGATGGGGTGGTGGTAGAGGATCAGGAAGGAATGAAGTCTCTTATAACTAACTATTTTTCCTTCTTGTTTACCCCCCGTGGCAGGTGCGGATAATGATGATTTCTTATCACATACAACACCAAAGATGACACGCAAATGAATGAGTTCCCATCTGCTGACTTCACTCCGGAGGAGGTGAAGAGGGCTCTTGATGATATAGGGGATTGGAAAGCTACTGGTATGGATGGACTTCCGGCTGTTTTTTATAAACATTACTGGCAGTTAATTGGTGATGATGTGGTACACGAGGTGTTGCATGTGTTGTGAGGCAGCAGTATTTTTTTACAAGTGGAGGAGGACCCCCGGCCTTTGCATCTGGACGATGCATGCAGCCACTTTATTAATTATTCACATAATACCTTATAATGCCGTACAACAATAAGACTAAAGCCACCGTCTAGACAACATCTGTCACTACCTCTATCCAGTTGATGTAGGGATGCTGATAGTCTGGGCCTAATATCAAACATACCTCGCAGCAAAACCTAACATCTAGACCTGAGGTCCCAACCAGGACGCCTGCCGGGTATGGGGCACCCACCAGTCCGGCGCACTCCTCAACCAGGACGCCTGTTGCTATGTCTTGAGCTTGTGTTGGTTTTCCTTGAAGAGAAAAACGTGATGCAGCAATAGTAGCGTAAGTATTTTCCTCAGTTTTTGAGAACCAAGGTATCAATCCAGTAGGAGGCTCCTCATAAGTCCCACACACCTACACAAACAAACAAGAACTCGCAACCAACGCAATAAAGGGTTTGTCAATCCCTTCACGGTCACTTGCGAAAGTGAGATCTGATAGAGATAATATGATAAGATAAATATATTTTTGGTATTTTATGATATAGATTGGAAAATAAAAGTAGATTGAAAGCTTATATGATAAGAGATAGACCCCGGGGCCATATGTTTCACTAGTGGCTTCTCTCAAGATAGCATAATTATTATAGTGGGTGAACAAATTACTGTCGAGCAATTGATAGAAAAGTGCATAGTTATAAGATTATCTAGGCATGATCATGTATATAGGCATCACGTCCGTGACAAGTAGACCGACTCCTGCTTGCATCTACTACTATTACTCCACACATCGACCGCTATCCAGCATGCATCTAGAGTATTAAGTTAATGAAGAACAGAGTAACGCATTAAGAAAGATGACATGATGTAGAGGGATAAACTCATGCAATATGATATAAACCCCATCTTTTTATCCTCGATGGCAAGAATACAATACGTGCCTTGCTGCCCCTGCTGTCACTAGAAAAGGACACCGCAAGATTGAACCCAAAGCTAAGCACTTCTCCAATTGCAAGAAAGATCAATCTAGAAGGCCAAACCAAACTGATGATTCGAAGAGACTTGCAAAGATAACTTAAGCACACATAAAAGAATTCAAAGGAGATTCAAATATTTCTCATAGATAAACTTGATCATAAACCCATAATTCATCGGATCTCGACAAACACACCGCAAAAAAGAGTTACATCGAATAGATCTCCAAGAAGAGGAAGGAGAACTTTGTATTGAGATTCAAAGAGAGAGAAGAAGCCATCTAGCTAATAACTATGGACCCGAAGGTCTATGGTAAACTACTCACAACTCATCGAAGAGGCCTTGGAGATGATGTAGAGGCCCTCCGTGATCGATTCCCCCTCCAGCGGAGCGCCGGCGAAGGCTCCAAGATAGGATCTCACGGATACAGAAGGTTACGGTGGTGGAAATAATTTTTCGTGGTTGCTTCTGATGGTTTAGGGGTACATGGGTATATGTAGGAGGAAGAAGTAGGTCGGTGGACGCTCGAGGGGCCCACGAGGGTGGGGGCGCGCCCACCTGTAGGGGGAACGCCGGGCACCCTCGTGGCCGCCTCGCTTGTTTCTTGACTTCCACTCCAAGTTCTCTGGATCATGTTTGTTCCAAAAAGATCGCTCCCGAAGGTTTCATTCCGTTTGGACTTTATTTGATATTTCTTTTCTTCGAAACACTGAAATAGGCAAAAAAACAATAATTCGGGTTGGGCCTCCGGTTAGTAGGTTAGTCCCAAAAATGATATAAAAGTGTAAAGTAAAGACCATAAACATCCAAAACAGGTAATATAATAGCATGGAACAATCAAAAATTATAGATACGTTGGAGACGTATCACCTGCCGGGTATGAGGCCACCGCAGCCACCTGCCATCAATCCATCTTCACTAGTAGAAAAAGGACCTAATGTGAAGTTCATTAGTCTCGGTTTGTAATTGAACCGGCACTACCATTAGTGCCGGTTCCAACGGCTAGGTGGGCGGCGCTAATTAGTACCGGTTTGTGGCGAACCTTTAGTACCGGTTCGTGCCACGAACCGGTACTAAAGAGGTGGTGACCTTTAGTACGGGTTGGTGGCTACAACCGGTACTAAAGGCCCCCCCTTTAGTACGGGTTCGTGCCACCAACCGGTATTAAAGGGGTGCGCTGCCACCTAGTGCACAATATTTAGTCCCACCTCACTAGTTGGGAGGAGCTCACACTGGTTCATAAGCCCCGTCGTGGCTACCGTGTCGAGCTCCTCTCTAAGCAGGCCTTTGTGGGCCTATTGCAAGTCTTCTGCCCTGTGGGCCCTACTGGGTACATACGGGCCTGCATCCTGGCCCAACTAGAGGTTGGGTTTCTAGTCATATGCAGGCTGTGCCGGCCCAGTAGGTGGGCTATTTTTGTTTTATTTCAAAAAAAATAAAAAAAGTCCCGGTTGGTGTTACCAACCAGGATTAAAGGTCCCCCAGACCACGGCGTGCCTCGTGCCAAGTGGTGGCCCTTTAGTGCTGGTTCGTGCTGAACCGGGACTAATGGGGGGGGGGGACTTTTAGTCTCCACACTTTAGTGCCGGTTGCAGAACCGACACTAAAGGCCCCTAGAAACCGGTAATATAGCACCGTTTTCTTCTAGTGCTTCACAGTTGTACTGTTGCATCTACCGTGCCAGGTCTCTCTGCCATCGACGCCACTACGATGCCAGACAATGTCGTCCTCCTGCGCGAGTCCATCCACACGCGCCCGTCGCTGAAACTCCGCAGCGCCATGCCGCCGGGATCCGTTGTCGGCCTTGCGGTAGATGAAACACCGCTCCTCCTCGTTCTCTCCAGTCAGCTCCTGCTCCAAAATGATGCCCTCGAGAGGGAGCACGCCATTGAAGGCGCTGTCATCGTCTGATCCGGTAGACCCAGATCTAGGGTTTCCCCCGGAACATCCCGATCATGTTGATGCAGTTTGCAATGACGATGCCTCAACAAGGGGCGTCGGAGACGCTGTCATCATCCGCCATGACCGAAGTCGGCGTGATTTTTACCGGAAGTAGTGCCACCACGATCTCGCCGCTAACTGGATCCGAGCACACCTTCACCATGTACACGTATGGTGTCATCGGAAAGCCGGTTGAGGACCTCCATCCGCCTCACCTCGGCCCCATCATGCGCCACCAGCCGGCCATAGCCGAACCACGACGGATCTGGCTGGGACGCCAGATCCACAACAACCGCCGCCACCCACACCCGACAATGCAAGCCAACGACTCAACCCACCGGCAATGGGAGAAACGGCTGCCGCCGCACGCCAGGGTCACCGCCCTGACCGCGTCGGCTGAAGACGAAGGCGCCAACGCGAGATCGATCCAGACGACCCGAACTTCTTGCGCGCGACCCCGGCCAGCCACGTAGAACCTCCTCGCCGTGCTGACGAGAGTTCACCCCCGGATCCACCGCACCGGCTTCCGCCGCCACGCCGTCCAGGGAGAACGCATCGCCACAAGGAGAAGAGTGCCCTGCCGCTGCCATCCTCCGAGGCGGGCTTCGCCCGTTGGCCTCCTCCGGTAGCGGCCAGGCCGCGGCCTGCAAATGTGAGGGATGGGGCGGGGGCGGCTAAGGTTCGCTCATGCCTGTTGGAAATATGCCCTAGAGGCAATAATAAAATGGTTATTATTATATTTCCTTGTTTATGATAATTGTTTATTATCCATGCTAGAATTGTATTGATAGGAAACTCAGATACATGTGTGGATACATAGACAACCCCATGTCCCTAGTAAGCCTCTAGTTGACTAGCTCGTTGATCAATAGATGGTTACGGTTTCCTGACCATGGATATTGGATGTCGTTGATAACGGGATCACATCATTAGGAGAATGATGTGATGGACAAGACCCAATCCTAAGCCTAGCACAAGATCGTGTAGTTTGTATGCTAAAGCTTTTCTAAATGTCAAGTATCTTTTCCTTAGACCATGAGATTGTGCAACTCCCAGATACCGTAGGAATGCTTTGGGTGTACCAAACGTCACAACGTAACTGGGTGGCTATAAAGGTGCA